GAAACCCCGTATTAAGGCAATAAGGTATCATTATGATATGATATCGCATGATATCGTATCCAAACTTCCAGAAATTTTTCAGAATTTTGAGCTAAAGGTGTAACGGTCGCCACACACGGTCAGTTCAACTGATCATTCCAACTGATCAGTTCAAACTAAAACTGTTGATATTTTTTAAAATATTAGATTTTCGATATATCGATAAATAAACTTATATATAAAACTCCGTAATTGATATATTTATAATTATCAATATATCCAAAATACAATATTTAAAAAATATCAATGATCAGTTGATCTGACCGTGTGTGGCGTCTATTAGACTTCGTGATATTGAAGTAATAGAGTTTTTATTATTGCTTTAATACTCGTATATTTTAATGTCTGCTTTTTTCGTTACCTATAATAAAGAAACGCATTAATGTTTAATGTATTTTTTACAGAAAATATAATTTTGATTGCTATTCCATAAAGTAAAACAATTCAGACATAAATCGTTCCAACCATTGTTATTACTTTTGTAAACAAGTTTCCCAATTAAATAATTTCAGTTAAAACACATTTTTATAAGATTTCATATTGTGCGTATCGTGTGACTGTAGGTCAAGGTGGCGACCTTTATTTTTAATTTATTATTCTTAAGGGGAAATATAACCTCAAATGGCTTAGCAAGATCCTCCGTTATGCCGAAAGTATTGCAGCATTAATTTTGAAATAAATATATGGTAAAGTTGAGGATTAAACTTTGGATTTTTTTTCTATCGAGAAAATTTACGGAATCGTGTTTTCGTCTAACATAAACCTTAACATTAATCCTCAACTTTACCATATATTTATTTCAAAATTAATGCTGCAATACTTTCGGCATAACGGAGGATCTTGCTAAGCCATTTGAGGTTATATTTCCCCTTAAGTCTAATTATAAGCATTGTATGAATCATAAGCTTGTGAATAATCTGCTGATACAAACACTTCCTATAAATTTTAACTTGGCAGATGACTACCGTGCGGTGGCAATGTAAGAACACTACCCAATAACATAATGCGCAGCAGCGCCTTCCTAATAACTACTAGATATAAAATACACGGTTGCCAATCCAACAGCAAAGCATGGCAACCATGCCTTCTGAGGCAATCTATTGGGTAGGCCTACTTATGTTCATCATTGGATTTTTGCTAGGTCGATATCAACGTAGCATCGATGTAGGTAGGTATTCCAATGTGAGTCGGTCGTATCAACTTTTTTGTTGCACGCCAAAAGATGTCATTAACGTTTTTCTTAATTATTTTAACGACTCACATAGGATACTAAATGCTCGTATTTTTTTACTTTTTTATTTTTTTACTTTTGCGTTTCATTTCTAATTAAACTTTATTATTACTATATCTTTAGCGTAAATATTTACATTTACATCTAATAGATGGCGGAAAAGCCCATTTACTTGTTATTTCCATAGCATTATGTCGTATGGTATTTTGCTATGGCTACACGCGACTGACATCCATAAAATCCATAAACACTCACGCCTGTCACCCAGAGGGGTAGGCAGAGACTACAGATTTCCATTTGGCACGATCCTGACACACCTCTCTCGCCTCCTTCACATCCGTACACCTACGCATACATGCTCGTCGGTTAAGGGTATTCCTAATTTGGCCCGTTTCCAATAAATCGCCAATTTGGTCGATAAATTTTCGCCTAGGACGTCCCTTTCCGACTCTGCCATTCACTTCTGCAACATAAATTTTCTTTGTCACTCTTTCCTCATTCATTCTTTCCACATGACCAAACCACCGAAGCATTCCTTTCATAATTCATTCTTTCATTTCACATCATCTTGCAAACCACACTCTTCTCTTATTACACAATTTCTTACGCTGTCATTCAGATTCAGCCCTAACATACTCCTTAACGACCGCATTTCTACTGCGTTTATTCTACTCTCGTGCTTCTTCTGCCACACCCAACTTTCACTACCATACGTTAAAGGGACCAACACAGCATTGTGAATTGCCATACGTGCCTTTTTCGACACATTTTCACTCTTTACAATAGAGTGCAAGGCCCCATTTACTCTATTTCCCGCATTCACTCGTCGTTCTATATCTTTATCATATCTCCCATCCCTGCTAAATACGCAGCCCAAATATACAAACTCATCTACTTGCTCGATCAACTCCCCTTCTATTCTTACACTGAAATTATATTTATTTTACAGAAGAGGGCTATTAGAGCAATGTATAATTTAAAACCAAAAGTCACTGAGACAAAAAATTAAGGAAATTAATATATTAACTCTGGCCTCTCAATACATTTATGAAAATGTAATGTACGTACACAAAAATAAAAATAGTTTTGCGAAAATAAGTGATATGTAAATACTAGTAGCAGACAGAAGCTAGTAGTACCAGTTACTCGTCTCCACCGAGTCAGTAATTCGTTCTTGGGGCGATGTATACCCCAGAAAAATCCCAGAAAATATACAAAATTTGTCATACACAAAGTTCAAAAATGTTATTAAACTAAGTTTGTATAAAAAAGGGTTATTATAATATTAAGGAATTTATGGATGATAATAACCCCTGCGAAGGGTGATTGCTACCAAGCTTTCTAATTTGTCTTGTGTTGTTAATTGTAAACATGATTGCAAGCTATTATTGGAAAAAAATAGTCCTGCTGGGTTTCTTGCTGGTTCTTCCCAGGACAGAGGTTTTTTTTGCGAACCAGTGGTAAATGAAAAAAGTGACAATAAGTATTGTTATAACCTACATTGAATAAAAAAGTTTCTGTTTCTGTTTCCCACAATGGACTCTCACTGGCTGGTAATATATGATATACCTAGTAGATAATACATAAACACCTACTTATATATTAGGGATATAATTAAAAAATTACCACCTGATGAACATTTTTCTGAACACTACTATTATGAATGTATCGTGGTGTAATCGAAAGTATTTAACAATAACTTTAGAGATGGAAAAATTCAACCTAGATTTTTAGAAATATTTTGATGGTTGATATTTCAAAAACAATGTTAATTGCTAGTTATGAAACTTCATATGACGAACAGAATCCTTGCATGACAGCGGAAATCCAAAAATAATAATTGCCTTTAACGGTAGTAAGTTTTCCCTAGAATTTTGGCATGACATAACTTATTAATTGCGAACAAAATTATAATCTATTATAATTTTATCTGATCGAGAAAATTTATTTGTGGATCACCACCACATATCAACAAGGAAAGTATTCTCAAACGTAATAATGAAAATTAGTAATATATTTTCTTTCACAACGACACGATTAACGTTTCATTACTATTAACAATAACAGTTTAAAAACCATTAAACACACTTATACGCAATTTTCATAGGAGTGTTTTAAAAGTAACAAAAGCCGGCTAACAAACCATCCAAGTCAAAAGGGAAAAATAGGATATAAAAAAGGTAAAATTCCATTCTCATATTTTAGTAAGCTAAATAAAGATAATTAAATATTTATTTATTTTATAATTAATTTAATTAATAAAAATATAATTTATAAAAGAAATATTTCTTTAAGTACCCATTTATTCCTTTTTATTGAAATCTGTAGACAAGTAAAATAATTTTTCCTCTACAATGGATAACTCAACATGATAAAAAGGAAAAACAAAAAACAGAATTAAAATTAATGTTGATGTACATTAATTGCCTAAATCTTCATCAGAATTAAGTCACACATACTTTTACATTAAGCAGAGGAACCTTTGAATTATGTCGTTATATTATATAATCACGAAAATGATCTCTTTATTTTTATTATTATGAATTTAAAAAACAATACAAGAATAACAGAAATACAATAAATTACTAAGCTCTTATAAAAAAAGGAAACACATTGTATCAAACTCAGAAGAAATAAAAAAGGTTTGTTCTTAACAAACACAGATTTCTCTAATTCTAACTACTTTAATATTTAAGGTTATTTTTCATGAAAATACTTGAGGTAGGCACATTTAATTTTAATTTTTTAATTTTTAAGAGTGTGTATCACTTGTAAGAGTAATAAGAATTAATTTTAAAAACAAAACAAAAATTTTACTTTAAATTTGATTAGATGATCTCATTTCATTTATTCTTTCAAGTTAGCTAAATGAAAGACGACAAAAAAAGTAAAATAACATTGTAATCAAGATTGCTTATTCATTTGTTTTGCTTTTATCTGATAATAATAATTATTGGTGATGTTATTACATAATTTTCATTCACTAATCATATCATTAAAACGACATTTAATGATATAATTGTAAAATAATCACTTCCAATGATTTGAAGATTCTTGTCGAACTAATTAATTGGGCTATTTGCTGATAGGAATTATTATAAATAGCAAATTGATAAAAAAATTGTTCGATGATATAAAAAAATATTATATTGTAGGGTTGTGACATGTTTGTTTGTTTAAGCTAAATTAGACAAATTATAACTTTTTAATGCATTCACTTACTAATGCTTTGTATTTCCTTATCATTTGGTCTTACTCAGCATCTAACCCTGCCATATATATAACAGAAATATATTCGAGTAGATATAAATAATTAAGTATGGCATAAATTAAAATAAAACTAATAACAGGTCTTAATTTTCCTTAAAAATAAAAACCCATACCAATTCTTCTTTACAAATTAATTAAATTGATACTATCAATAATTTAAAACACGTTTATTGCACATTCTTGTCATTTTGCAGCAAATGTATAAAAGATATCTTTCACAGCTTTCTTTTTTATTTTAATAACAGTAAAAATTCTGACTAAAAATATTATTTTTAACAAGTGTGATGTGTAAAAAAAATGAAATAATTAAACATTCCTACAAATTTCTTATGTTATATATGTGTACATATATAGAAATTGAATTTTTAAGCTCATTTTTGGAATACACAATAATAAAAGTTATTGACAATGCATATTAATATTAACCTACACCAAATGCACTAGAATACTAGGAAACACTTTAGAGTTTCCTTTCGTATGTACGTCGCCTTTGTTCATCTATTCTAACCAGGTAGTATGTACCAGGGAATAAGACATCTATCGAACCAGATGGTTCATACGGAGCTGTATGATAATTCTTTGTTCTCACATCCATGAGTTCTGTGAATACACTTGGCTGGACACATTGTCTTTTATCTAACATTGACACTGTGTCATTAAGAGATTTAATAAGACTTTCCAATTTTGACCCAGCACTCATATCTTTACATATATTAATGGAATACATTGTAGATGCCAGGCCAGAACCATAAGAAAACAATGCAAACTTTTTACCGATCAATTGTTCTGGGGATTTACTAACCAGATATGATACAAGACCTCCATATAATGATGAGGTGTACATGTTTCCTACATTTCTTGCAATGTGCAAAGATGGCTTAGTTTTCTCCTCAAATAAACTTTGGCTGTATGTCATGAATGCTTTCTCTACATCTCGGTCAAAATATGTTTCTTCTCTTTTATGATTATTAAACTGTGATAGTCCCGGAAATTGTTTCTCTCTGTCACTGGGTGATGTATTCAGGAAGTCATTAAAACACATTCTAGCTAATGATTTTTGCACTAACTTACAATAAGGTGTATGAAACAGCATGCCATCCAAACTCAAAAGACCTTTGAAATTAGAGTTAGTATTTCTCATTTTCTTGCAAAAAAGATTATAACAATTATCTAAAGCATTTAAATAGCATTTAATAGTCAATTTTCCATCAACATATGGAAATTCCGATGCTAAATCAGGCTTATAAAAATCATAAGCATGTGTCATATAAGAAGCACGAACACCACAATCAAAAACCAACGGTGCATCTGGTCCTATTAACATTGCAACAGCTCCAGCACCTCCTGTTGGTCTAGCAGGTCCTTTTCCATACACTGCTATGTCACCTGCTATCACAATTGCTTTTCTACCGTCCCAAGAGGACGACTCAACCCAATTTATTGCATTGAAAAGAGCTGCTGTACCTCCATAGCAAGCATTGGTAGAATCAATCCCCTCCACATCAGTAGCCCCTTCTTTAGCAAATAATGTCATCAGAAAGGTCTTTACACTTTTGCTTTTATCAATAATTGTTTCAGTACCAACCTCAAGGCGTCCAATATCATGCAAATTAATGTTATTCCTCTCAGTAAGTCTATGAAGAGCAGTAAGACATATTGAATTAATATCTTCTCGGTCGGAGCAAAAACCCATTTTACTCTGACCAAGTCCAATGGTGTACTTGCCTGTACCAACTTCATCAAATTTTTCCAAGTCTACTTGATCCACATATTGTGAAGGAAAATACAACTCCATGGCAAGAATGCCCACATTTTCTACTTTTCGAGCCATCATTTACTTTCAATAAGCTGAAGACGCCAAACTTTCACTATTAAATCAACACGTTAATATTTTAAAGTTATGCGGAGTAACGTCTTGACGAAGCGCCGATCTACACAGACTGGTGGCCTCACTCTTTCGCCCGCTGCTCGTCTGCTGTCGACGTCAGACCCTCACGTTACCGAAGTGAACGAATCATACCATTGACCTACTATGGTATCATTAACCGACTTTCTTTTACTCTTAAGCAAATGACCGATAACACTTATTAGATATAAATCAATTATCATTTAAATATGACTCAGATTTATATTAATCATTTATTATTGTTATTTTAATATTTAAATATTCCAAAATTTTACAAAATTTTATTGAAACAAATATATACTTTCTTTTTTGACTTGCGACAGCATGACAATGACATTGACACGTGAATATGAATAAGTGAATAATAGGTGCGTTTGGCAGAAAAAAGCGCTAGCAAGCGCTTATAAGCGCTGAAATAGTTTTCGGCCAGGACACGATTGCTACTTCAGTAGCGCTGACACAATCCGCCATTTTGCTTATTTAATTTGTTTGTTTTGAAGTGGAGTTTATAAGTTGTTTTGTGCAATATTAGTTTTAAGTAACATAATGACATGAATAAACATATATATGCTATTAAAAACTCATGATTGGTAAGTTTTTAATATGAATACTTTACAAACATATATTAAAATTAGGTTAGATTCCCCGGTTAAAACTAACATCGTGTCCTGGAGGAAAATAGCTATTTACGATTTAACAGCGCTCACCGCTTACGATCGCCATTTTACTTACAAGCGCTTGCAAGCGCTTTTTTCTGCCAAACGCACCCATTATGACCTGCGTTGCCAATACCAATTTGTCAAATTCCCCGAAAATTGAAGTCTAATCCCCTATTTGGGGACAAAAATCAACAGATTCCCTACAAATTGTCCTTAACGATATTTTAAGAAATGAAACAAGTTTCAACTAATTTTGTAAGATTTTTTTTTAAGTAATAAGTTACAATTATATTATAATTCTGTCACTGTGGGGGGGGGGGGTCAAGGGAGTTTATCTGAAGCAACCCCACGCGATTGCTATGTCCGGAGCAAAGCGTAAAAGTATTTTGAATTATTTTTTAAAAATATTTGTAAATGACTAATTAATTAAATATTCTCACGTTTTTGACGTTACATCTGTTAATGTTATATCGATATATAGTACTAAATCAATCTAGTGAATCGATATTTCACCCTAGGGAATCGAGCTCGAATCTTTTTCTGTTTTATTAAGAACTATAAAATTATTTACAATTAATTGAATGTACCCCGACTCGTAGGGAATGACAGTTTTTTAATTCAATCATTCAATGTTATCTGTACTTTATTGTTTCTTTTGATATTTTAAATATAAACACTTAATGCAAATCAAAAAAATGATCGATTTTTGCGAAATCGGTTTTTAAAATTTCGATTTTTTGTGAATCGATTCATTCAATTTCGATTCGAATCGATTTAAAAAAGTGTAAAATTAATCGCTAGGCCGGCCATTTTGTTGACAGCTTTACGTCATGCAGTCATGCCGTTGCTTCCGAATTTTAGAATTTTGGTGAATAGTGGAATATTTGTGGGGGCGGAATACTGCTAAATATCGCAAAGAGCCTTTCTTACAAATGGTGGCAGTCATAAATTGTGTTTATAAATTAAAGTAGTTATAAAAGTTAATATTTTGGTGTTATATTGAGTGCAATAGCGAGCGAAGCGAGCCTGGGACGTGGGGCACCCCGACTTGGACAGGTTAGGTTAGAAGGGGATGACACCATCCCCTTCGTGATAATTTTTTTGTAAACCACTCAGAAGTAGGAGCCCCGTGAAGCGGAGCTCCGTCGGCCAGGCTTCCCTCAACTGCAATACATTAAGTGGCGTGGGACTTCCATCCCCCTACTCTCTCTCCCCATAAAGCAGGTTAAAATTGTTATAAAAATTACGTAACATAACCTGAAAATTGAGATTTTTAAAAATTTATAAAAAAAACTAAGCACGTCCGCCAGGAGGGGGAACCCCTACCCCCTAATTCAGGCAACTTAGTTGTAAACCTTCTCTTACGACACTTTGCTGCATTTTAACAAGCATTTTACTGCATGGAGTGTTTTTAATTACTTCCTTTACTGTCAATAAAAAGTACCACAGTATTTGCATTTATACAAATACTGTTTTCAGCTTTAAAATAAAAAATAATGAAAAAAAAAACATTAAATGATACACAAAAGTTGCGGAAATAATTCTGAAAATTAAATACGATGCAATGAAAATAATTAAAAAATGGGAGTCATAATATCCATAAATAACCTAAAAAAAATGTTCAGTATTTACTTTCAAAATTCCCGCATTTTCCCCGCATAATACCAATTCACAAAAATCACTAATCAACTTGAGATTCCCCGCAGTTTGGGGAATTCTCTGCATATTGGCAACACAGATTATGACGTGACGTGATCACAGAATATGGAACCCATGAATGTTAGAGAACAGGAGAACGATCGCCGTAGAAAATAGTGTCCCAGAAATATGGACACCATAAGTGAGGCAATGCGATCACTAAGTTCGGTCAATAAAAGTCATTTTCAGTTTATTTTTCCGATCAGAGGCTAAAACCACTTGCACATCCACGCACAATAAAATATTTCTCCATTTTTTAATGTTTTTTTTTTGTCAATAATTACAAAATTACGGAGCATGAAAATTTTCTGATTAAAAATGAAATGAAAAATTATACATTATTCAACTAACTTCATCTACTTGTACTCATAAACAGCTAACTTCACAGTCACTACTCACCGACGTCAGCGCCGCTATATATTCTACAAATTTTCAAGGACAGGCGTGCTATGCTTTAGTACGTAGTGATCGTTCTCCTGTTCTCTAACTTTCATGATGGAACCTAACAAAAGAGAATATAATCACTACGTTTAGGACATGCAGGTTAGAGAACAGGAGAAAGTATAGCTCGCCTCGTAGACAGAGAACTGTCTACGGATCAAGCACATTTTTGTAAATAAATAATGTATAGTAGTGTTCTATAATAATATAATTGTTTCCAAACGCAGTAAACAAAAATAATAATGAATGACGTAATAAATATGTATAAAAATATATAAAACCTAATATCTTAGTTAAAAAGTACAATAATTAACCAATGTCATCGATAGATGGTATTGTGCAAATTATTTATTAAATTTTAAAGTGTGATTATATATTTTTTCCCTACCGCTGAGTACCTACAACATGATAAATCAAATTTTAAAAGAGCTATTAACAATTTTTTTGATTTCGGCAAGGTTCAATCATATAAAAGCTTGGCAGTAAACATATTTTACTTCCCTTTTGCACTTCCAAAAGTTTTAAAATTTAAATTGTCGTGAGATTGAAAAATAGGTTACCCGATTTTGAGATTTTTTAAATATTGTTCCTACTCGTTTTTTATCTAAATATCAAGTAATTTTTATTTTACTGTAATAATAAGTTGACTACTATAACTTTATATAGATGTCGCTATAAGTATTTTCGAGCACCTAAGGAATGGAGTATAGAGGTAAGGAGGATAATCTCCCATAGGAGAATAGTTGAAAATGTGTCCATATGTAAGCAGTAAATAACAGTTCAAAAACTATCCACAACAGCGCTCGAGTACCTAGAGAGTACGAAATGAACTTAGCAGTTGACGACGGAGTGAGTAGTTGATGAAGTTGCAGTACTTAAAACCTCAACTACTTACATTGTCTTAAATAATTTAGTAAATATAACCTTCAAAAAATCGCAGTGAAACACGTTGAGAATAATTTTGAAAGTAAAATTTTTCAAAATAGTAAAATAATTATTTTAAAAAAGAATTATGAGTTGTTGAAAATTTACCCTCTAGCTATAGTGGCGCAACCCTTATTTAGCACTTTCCTACGGACACTTTTAAATACTGAGATGGTTCTCCTTATCTCTACACTCCACAACCTAAGGTTTCATTATAAACGATATATGAAGAGGACACATAATATGTAAATAATTACTTTGCTTTCTGCTTTCAACGCAATGTTTGTATTGGACCAGCAAATATGTTTCTTCCTTTTATCCAATAACCGTTACAGCATTTTGAAGTTCACTTTTAACATATGCCTCCATTGATTGCCTCATATTTGGCATCATTGATTTATATGTATAACTCAATGTTTGGCATAGTTTCCACGCTCTATCACGCGTGCATATTTTTTTTAATGAAGAGGGGGCAAACGAGCATGCGGCTCACCTGATGTTAAGTGACTACCGCCGCCCATGATCAACCGCAACACCAGGGGAATTGCAGGTGCGTTGCCGGCCCTTTAGAAAGGGTAGAAGTAAGCTCTTTTCTTGAAGGTCCCCAGATCGTATCGGTCCGGAAAAATCGCCGGTGGTAAACTATTCCACAGAGAGGTTGTACGCGGAAGAAAACAAAGTGCATATATCAAATTTGATTTATTTTGGACATGGTTAAGAGGATACCTTGAAAATGAATCGAAGTTTTGGGGGCGTGGCTTATTCCTTTGTCGGTGAAGCTAACGAACGACTGAGGGAGTGTCAAAATGAAAGTGATGCAATGACTCCATAGTACGCAAATTATGAGATAGCCATACCGAGCAAGGGCTCGGAAAAAAACTAAGTAAGCGCCAACAACATTTTATTTATTTTTACAAAACTTCGTTATGGATTAAAAAACTGGTTTATGAAAACTTAGATATGATTATTTACTATGACTTAACCCTTAACTTGGCAAACTTTATGATGTCATTATTTTTTTATTTCTGTCATATTTTAGGTTAATAGGTGCTAAATGGACAACTAAAAAATAAATAAAAAAATCTGCAATATTTAGTTTTGTTTTTATAACATGTATCTAATAATGCACACTACTATGTAGCCAGACATTCATCTTTGAAAATCCATGTGTACTATAGGATACATTACTGGGTAGGTAGTAAATAAAAATATATTTTTAAAGAATAATTAATGTATTTACCGTTTTAAACATATAATATCTAGAAGTTTCTAAAGGAACTGTATCTACGACTGGTCGTCGCTGCTGGTGATAAGAGGGCTGGTTCTTTCCTCGTTCAAAGGCAGTATAGCTATTCAGCGAGGAAACGCAGCCAGCGTTCTTGGCACTATACCACGGGGAGCAGGTCTTTTTGACGATTTAAATTTTTAGTTTTATATTTTCTATATTATAGTTTCTTCTTTTATTTTGTATATAATTAGTTTTAATCGTAAATATTATAATTTTAATTATTATTTTAGTTAAGTTCTTTATTATAATTTTTGTAATCTAGATCTAAATTAAATTAAAATAAATTTAATTGGTATAAAAAAACATAATATTATCATTATATCAAAATATTTAAAATCGCATTCTTCCACGTTTAATAGAAACAAAACTTCACAACTTCTTTATTATAATTGTCATTTTTAAACACCACAGTTCCACAGTTATCACATACCTATAAACAATTAAAAAATAAAAATAATAAAGCGTAATAATATGACAACATTATTACATAATGCAGTCTTATAATTTATGAGATCAATCAATAAATTTAAAAATAAAAAGACGCATGAAAATGAAAAATGCAATGACTACAACTATTTGCTTAATCTAAAAGCAGCTACTTTCTTTCATTTGAAGTAATTTGCTAAAAAGCTCCGCAGCCTCGTTTTTTTCAAAATTATATCAAAAGGTAGCTTTTTGACTCCTTTACGCAAACGATTTGGTCTCAATGTTCCCAAGGAAAATATCCCGTACTCATTTCTCTGGTGATAACTAATAATTAAATATTTAAATATTTCTCTGGTGTGAACTAATTCTATAGAGGTAAAAAAATATCAAAATAAATCACTTTACAGGCAGCCTCTTTGATTGTCTTGTTCAAAGCTATGACAACTTTAACCCTCCGTGCACCAGGTGACTAAAAGTCTCGTCCCATACTAGGTGGGGTGTGACAAACCCTAAAATATAAAAGTGATAAAATTTATATATTTTTTTGTTATTTTACGGATTGAAATATAAGGTATTTATAAATACACAATAATAATCAGGTTTAAGTAAAACTAAGAGCGGAGAGTATTTGTTAAAATAATAATTATTATAAATGAACAAAAAAACACAACTTCTGTAATTTATGTAACTCAACAGTCATTTTCTTATATACTAATTCCAAATGACGCTTATAATTATTACAATCGTTTTAAATTCACAAACTACAATATATTTTCTAATAATCAAACATATATTGAACACAGGATAGATAAATTTTATTTGAGATCATCGATGTTCAACTGACCACAGACTTGATGAAAAAAATCTGTGTGCTCCATATTGCATTGCATTACTTTTGGCACATAACATTTTTTTACATGAGTATTTTGTTTTACGATCTTTGTTTATAGGGCAAATTAAGCATTTTTGGAGCATTAGACTTTTTTGCTGTACGATCTGTTTAATTTTTGGGCGTATCATCAAAATATTTAGCAATTCTATTGCATAGGTCCCTTCGAAGTTTTTGGTTCTGCCTTCTGGAGTTTAAGTGGCCTTTTATCAAAGAAATACCAAATTCTGGAATAAATTTACTTCTCGAAAACGGTGAGCTTATGGTTATAAAGTAAATTTTCTGTACCTTCGTAGCTAGTAAAAAAATTATCCATAGTGATATTCCAAGAAGACTGTATAATACCTTTGTCTAGACGGGCGAAGCTCTAAAAATGGTACATCGTCGTCACTGTCAAAAACGGAAAAAAAGTTTACACTCTGAATACTCAAATGTTCAGATTCACCTTCAGATCCCGGTCCTGAACCTCCAGATTCTAACTCAAAGTCGTCTCCTTCATCAGCTTGTAATATATCAGCTTCCTTGATATAGGACATTTTTCATGTAAACTATTATCTGTAATTAGTTCAAATTCATTTAAAATGCTAAACATACATAATATAATACAAATAAATAAAAAATACATAAATTACATCGAGGTGGGGTGTGTGACGCGCACATGCACTTTAAGGATGTGTAGCTAACTTGGCGATTGTCACCGGAACGACTTAGCGGCACTGGTCGGAGTGGCAACGTTATAATTCCAGCTACTGAAAATTCGAACTTCGGCGCGTTCACAGTTTTAAAATTATCGCAAAATTTGTAGGACTGGGGTTTGTCAAACCCCACCTGGTACACGGAGGGTTAACCTCATACTGTTTTCTTCTTCATTAAATTGATGAAATCGAAACGTGTCCTCTTCCCCATAAAGCAAAAAATCATACACCATTCCAGATATTTCTTCTCTAACGTATATTTATTACCATTTTCGAATTTTATTTTTGATATACTCTTCGCGCGTACCAGCTCTCGTACCTTTATACGGCACCACCATTTCGTCCATACTGAACCAGTCTTCCTCTTCAATATTTATACAATTTTGGCGATTTTTTTCTAACAGAGGTCTCTTGTAATAACAATCCCCATCGTTACCTAAAGCGCCCACAAAATGCAAATATTGTCGGACCAGTTGAAATCTTTTCAGTGTCATGATATCTACTATTTTTCTGTATCTGAGACCAATAATCCATATAAGCTTGTAACGTACGACACCCATGAGAATATTAATAGCAATAAAATCATTTACTTCATCCAAAGTCAAATTCATGGCCGTGCCCTTGATATTGATATTGCATATGATATAATTTACACAAATTACAATCACAAAGTTTGACATATTCTAACAATGATTTTGTGTCGGAACGTTCGTTGAATATTTTATCACTGATTTCAGCAGTGTTTTTAAATCTTGCAGTTGTTCACTTAACTTCAAGTTTTTTTTAACTACAGTCTTTTTGACTAAGTGAACTCTTTAGCTGGATCGAGTAGCATTTGATGGTGATGGTACGGATAATATATGTGTAGAGCTATTATCTATTGAAGAGATCGGCGCAGGTGTTCGCTGGGACTATTACATTGGTTGGAGGAGCAGCAACACTGGACGTAGACAAATTAGTCAACAAACTCACGTACTTCGTAAATATCCTACGTATTTTCGGCCGGGACTAATACCTCCCTGTAGTCGTCTTCACTTTGTAAGTTTCGTACCAGCCTAAAAAGTAAACAAACCATTCATACATACATATACAGATAAATAAATACGATATCGATACCGTTTCGTACATGGTATTGTATCTGAAAATACACACAGAAAAATTTACTCTATAGTATTGTAAGTATGGCAATGTGTCCTATAGTGCACACTCCAAAAGTCAGGTCATAGTACCGGATCTTGGTGATGTGCATTTGTAGATACATGAATATTGACAGTAATATTTTAGATAGAAAATATTATTGTTCGATCAAAATCTTTTACATAACCAAAACAATATACATTCAATTACATAATTATCACATATATCTGTAGTAGCAACTATATTTTGATAGGATTTTAATCGATTCTTACCTTATAACTCGTAGACGCACGCGCATGCTCCACCGTTTTGCGATCTACTTACTTCAAATGTTGCCATACTTAATAAATAATATTTTTATTGCTAAAAGAAGGATTTCATAAACTAATTAGAATATAATTTTAATCTAAGTCTGCTAAAATATTTTCCAATATTTTTTTTAGAATATGTGCATTATTTGATACGTTATCAAGTTAAGCGTTAAAAATAATTCCATGAACTTCTTCGTAAAAATATTGTGGTGTCATGGAAAAATTTAAATAATTAGAGCCTACTTTGCAATTTTTTTCTATCGAGAAAATTTCATGATATCGTGTTTTCCTTTTATACAATCCAAGGTCATATAGTCAAAAATCATATACCAAAATTTTGGTTTGTACTCTATAAAACTTAAAAAAATATGTTTTATAGAAAAACCACCATATTTTCGAGGTGTCACCTTAAAACGAACAGAATAAAATTTAATTTGCCGTAAAGTTAGTCTTGCCATTTACCGACACATGTCTCCGTTCACTGTGTATCTACTATAATAAACTCTTGTACTGAGAGTTTATTATAGTATAGAGTCATAGATACTAAACTATGCTGAGTGACTACCTAAACCACTTGAAGTAGAAATAATTTTGGAAAATTCGATCCCAGAGAGTGTGAAATAAGGATGTAACAGTTTATTATTATATTAAAAAAAAAACATACGCGCAGCTCACACGCGACATAAGTAAAACCTTCAAATGAAATGAAATATAAAATACTGGTACTTTACGGCAAATGATTTGTTTAATATTGTAATTTTAACTACAAGTTCGGCAAAAAATATAAGAAAATTTAATTTTATAGTAAATAAATGTAACAATCCTATATAATATATCCCATAATATCCTATATATATATATATATATATATATATATATATATATATATATATATATATATATATATATATACTAGGTTGCAATAAAAGTATCGGGAATGGAATATTTCCAGTGTTCCTGTCATATTAAAATCTTTTTAATTGAAAACTCCTTGGTTTAAAAATCGAATACCAATTATTTATTTAAAAAAAAGATTCTCGGTCTTGTCACAAGGTTTTGTCAAACTTGTTTAGTTGTTGAGAAAATGGAACTGACTCGAGAAAATTCAAGAGCGATGATTTATTATCACTTTCGAAGTGGTTTAACACATAAACAGTGTGTTGACCGGATGATTTCTGCATTTGGTGATGAAGACTCATCCAAAACCACAATTTATCGCTGGTTTGCTGAATTTCAACGTGGACGTCAAGCTCAGTGATGATTCCCATCAAGGTCGTCCAAAAACTGCAGTCACCCATAGAAAACGTTGAATGCTGTGCGTAAGCTGATTAAGGAAAATCGACATGTGACATACCGCGAAATTCAAGCAACTTTAGACATTGGCACTTTGTGAGTCAAATACAAATAATCTTGCATGAACAATTAGGTGTAAAAAAGTTGTTTTCCCTATGGATACCGCATTCGCTCTGTGAAGAGCAAAAAGCGGCTCGCGTTACTTGGTGCTTCAGAACTCTTGAAAGATTCCACACGGGATCTTCAAATACTGTATACAACATCGTATCAGGTGACGAATCCTGGATATATGCGTACGAACCCGAAACAAAAAACCAGTCACGAGTTTGGGTGTTCGACAATCAGTTAAAGCCAACAAAAACCCTTCGTTCACGGAGTGTTGCAAAAAAAATGGTGGCCACGTTTGTCTCCAAAACCGGCCATGTTACGACTATTGACAATTTTCGCGCGTTTATATCAACTTTGCGTTTCCCGCGCATATGCGGACACAGAGTAGTGCAAATTTTTTGTTTAGAATAGCTTCTCTAGTACGTACCACATACATTGAGTTATATGTAATATAATATAAATGCGTTTACGACTTTTTCTCGCGAGCATAATGTTTCCTATCTCATTTTCTCCCGCGTTAAATCTTATGAATATATGTGTCTGTCGCTTTTCACTGTCGCTTTTTTGATTCATAGACTTTCAAATCACAACGATGCTAAAGAAGTTTTTACTTCAAAAATATTTTACAGGGCAATTGACTCGATACTTACTGAGAGTACCGTATTTTAAAAAATGAATAAATACGTATTTTGCGATTTTAAAATAGCATGTTACGATAGAGGGCGCAGGGGCAGAGGTATGTAATTTTGTATGGAAATAAAATATTTTGGTATTTCTTAAAACAACCTCTTACCGGTGAGGGAAAAGGGGTACATAATGTTCAATTTGAAGGGAGAAAAAATATTTAAAGCAATTAAATAATAAAATTTGCCGCTTATGGTTTTAAAACAAGGGTTGAAATGTATGAAAAATATTGTATTAAAACTACAGCTTAAACCGCTGATGTAGATGCGTGAAATTGGAACAATAACTTCCTTTTATTAAGTAGGCATCCACTAAGAAAGAAGTCGTAGTAAAATAAGGTTTTAAGAATGTTTTTTTTACGGGGTGATTTCATATTGGTATAGGGAAAAATTATTAAATGATTATTGTGACTTTAAAATTAGTACGAATACTTTAGGATTGAAATAATGCAATTAGCTTTTTTTCATTTTCCTGATATCTCACATTAAAGTGTTAAAACCAGGATACATGGTTTGCGCGATAAAAATGGTTTTCAATTGCATGGTGGTGGGGAAATCCGTAAAACGAGATTATAATAATTATGAATAATACTTACTATAGAACTTTACAAAAATCTGCCCCTATTAATCATTATATACAAAATATAAAAAATTGTCTATTTATTCTTGTGTCCGAGTTAGTAATCCGACAAAAATATAGTGAGAGCAGATACATATAAAACGGCTTTACGTGCTTTCTGAGGCATAGGGATGAAACAATGCAATACTTTGTAAAGAGATTAATTGATTTTAACTCCCAACCGATTTTAAGGCCGATGACACTTATTACTTAAGAGGATAGAGTAAGTCAGCTCAAATTCTAATTTCGTCCCCACTTGCCCGCGCATCGTATGCTATGTACCGACGACATGTTTGTAATCACTAATACTGTAAGTAGAAAGTTAGACACTTATTTCATTAGGTTTATCATATTTATGCCTGTTTCTTAACGCCAAGCCAGCCGCTTCTTATTTTTATCAAGGTTAATTCCCATTTTAATTTTACGTCGTACTGTTGCATAATGTATATTCTGATCGTAAGCGACACAACCTCCCCATCCAAAGGCTGAGGCGAAGTGATCGTGCTGCAGGAATCACGCTTCAAAAGGCCAATAGTTTAGGTAATTTCTTTTTACAGTAAAAATAATGGTATTTTAAAAAAAGTAAATAACATAAGCACTGCTTTATAGTTAGTTCAGTTAGTATGCAAAGTTTCATGATCTTATTTAAAGTATTTTATGAATAACAGCGGTTTATTGTTTATTTTGGAG